AGTAGTCATGGGCCTTCTATTTAAATTGCTGAAGTTCTCTTGAACTTTTCTGTGGTATTATTCTTACAGCTGAATGGCTTGCTCAGCTATTTCAGAGGGCATTAAGGGACAACCACATAGTGTGGGCCTGAAGTCCTATGTGATGACCAAATTAAGTTCGCAAATTGGTTGCCAATTTTGCCCACAAAACACACAGTCACATCACTTTACAGTATATCCTGTGTAGCACTTTGGGACGTTCTCCTGATGTGAAAGGCACTATACCAAATGTAAGTATTATTATTATGTGGTCCAGGCCAGGATTTCCTTCCCTGAAGAACATTAGTGAACCAGTTGGTTTCAATGCAGTTTTGTCTCCATTTTTCTGGTTAGCTCAAGTTACCAACATTTTTTTTAAATTCAAATTATGCAATTGCTGTAGCAAGATTCAGACCCACAACCTTATGGTTGCTAGTCCAGTAACATTTCCGTTCCCTTTTATTTTAAGTTTGTTTTAACAATTGAAGGCCTATCTTTATCGGGATTTATATTTTGGAATCGGGAAAACATTTGAAATTAATACAAATTATCACTCGGAGGTTTGGATTTGATTCAGTACATATCTTAAAACCATCATAGCTGCATCTGATGCCCCCCACATCAGAAGTAATCCTTATTTTAAAGTGATAGCCAGACAGAGCCTGAACTGTGTTCAGCACACTACTGTATGTGCCTCCTTCAATGTTTTGGATTAGTTTGTTTAAGATTGAAATTTGCACTTATCTTAAACAAATACCTAGGAAACCACGGAGAAACATTGGCAACAGCTAAGCTTCACTGGGAGTTTCTTTTAAAAATCTGATTTGCATATATGTGGAGTTGATTAAAGTTCAGCTCCATGGAGACTTGCTTACCTCTCCACCGACCTCCCCCTCCCCTCCAAACACATTAGGAGCAGAACAAAGCTATATCAAAGTCTTCATTATATACTCTCCTAAAACAAATAAATTGGCAAGAATAAATTAAATACCGTAAAACTATACTACTATACAGCATGTGCCTGGCTCTAAAGTTAGAGTATGAAAGGAATGCTAGTCTAAAGGAAACCTTTTTTTGGTTAAAACATTTGGAAAATTAAATGTTAACTTTGATTGCTGTCCATGAGTTTCGAATGAATATTTTCCAAATAATGCTAACATATTGAAACTAACAAGTATTTTATTAATGTAATTTGTGTCGGCCTGGCTCAGTAAGTAGCATGCTTGCCTTTGAGTCAGAAGGTTGTAGGTTCAAAGCCCCACATCAAGACTGAGATCATAGTCTAGGTTGACATTCCAATACAGCGCTTGAGAAGCTCTACATTGTCAGATGCGCTGTCCTTCATATGAGTCATCACACCCAGGTCTCACCTAGCTGTTCAAGAGGACATTAAAAATCCCATGGCACTATTTGAAAAGAGAAGGGAATTTCTCCTGAGATCCTAGCCAAAAAATTGATCATTCACATCATGGCTGTTTGTAGATCAATGTTATGTGTAAATTGGCTGTTCCATTTGCCTACAAATACACAGTCCCTACACTTTACAGTAAATCTTGTGAAGTGTTTGAGACATCTCGATGACTTGATAAGGTGTTATATACCAGGATTATTAATATTCATAAACCTACATTACAATTCACTCTTCTAAATTCTTTCTTCAAAATCTCCTTTGTTTTTTCTCCAACCTCCACCCCCAGAACACAGCGTTGAAACCCAACCTTTATTTAAACCATATCTACTTTTTGAGGTTACATGTTAACAGTGTTGTATTACACTAAAGAATAGTGCGATACAGGATTGTATCAAGCATACTGAATTCCCACTAGCAGCTGGGCATCTATGGAAAATCAGTAAGCAGAAAGTTTCACTCAGGAAGGGAGGGAAATTTCATCCTGACTGAGTATTGACTGAGATACAGTGAGGTGACTACCACCGTGTCACTGATAGTGGACTAACTGATCCCATCTCAGTGTAGTGATATTGTAGGAATTGCACTTGAAATCCCATGGTGATTATGTTGATGCAACTGCACAGGAATTAGTATTTGTAACAATAATATGTGCGGGCATATTTGGGAACTGCAGAGAGTGTGAATATTAAAGCAGCTGGACAATTAATTTTTAGTGGACTAAGTGATGGTGTAAAATGATGAAATAAGAGAGGAGTGTATTGTATGGAGAAATGATTTGAGGATCACAAAATCACAAGTCAGGTTTAAATGAAGAAGGTGCAATGACACATTTTGAACTCATCATCTAATATGTCCTCTACGTGAAAGATTCTATATCAAATGCAAGGATTATTATATCAAATCAACTGTCTATAATATAAACATAATATTTATTATTTTACAACATCTCATTTTTTTCTTGAATGAGTTCAATATCCTGGTCTCAACTTCTCTTTAACCCGTTCTGGATGTTGACTTCCCTCTGTGTAAAGAGATACTTACCCCATTGACCTACTGATTAAAAGTTATCCCCCAGTGTTTGGTCTAACTATACAGACTAGAAAGTTACATGTTTGATTCCAGGTCTTTGCTGAGGTTGCTGATTTCAAGCCAACAGTTGGGCAACAAAAGTTTTGCTCAGTGATCCCTAGGCCACGGAGGGCAAAAATCACCCAATGTTAATAGTCCTACTTACTTATCTTTGTTGGAATTTGCCCACGTGTGGACACTGCACAAGCCGTGAGTTTGGCTTTGGCTCTGATACTCCTTCAAATAGCCTGCCAAAACTCACCATCTTGTCTCGTACATGAATAATAGTTAATTCAGGGTGGTCCAACTGGTGGTCCATGGGCTGCATCCGGCTCAACCTCCACCCGCCCTGCATTTCATCCGGCTCACCTGCTCCCTCCATAACCCGTAAATGGAACGCTATGTTTCTGCAGGGCAAACACAAAAATATTGCTTATGTGCCTGCAGATGTTTCTCAAATAGGGCATTCGACCATCAACAGCCAAAAGGTTGAACCAGCCTGGGTTAGTTGGGTGAGGAGCTGGAGGGTGGCTGGTAACCTAGGAATGATATCCCAGCAAAGAGTTGATGTCTTCAAGAAGGAGGAGAAGAAAAAGAAGATAATTATTAAAAAGTTAAAATGGAGGGATATCCTAATTGGGCTGGAAACTAAACCAGAAAAAACTATGTGGGATAAAGCAAGTGATTGACAAAAAGGAAACAAAGTGAGAGAATGTGCTTCTCCCTAGTGTATATTTAGGATACCTGAATCCATGCTGTGTAAATATGAGATAATCACATTTCTGATGCAATATAAACAAATCTCAAGCCCCAATTGATTCCTGGTGCGCTTTGAACTGGTCTATCCAATTTCTCCTCTATATGTTTTCTAGGTAGCTTCTGTTTTGCTCTGTTCTTACCTGCTATAGTATAACTAAATATCACTGATGTTTTCAGGATTTAATTGGTGTAGTACTGAAGATTAAGTCAGAAGTATAAGTCTGCTTAAAAGATGACTGAACTTTCAGCAACCACCCACAAGCAGTAGTGAAGTTGCCAATATTGCAATGCTGAAAATGTTGAACAAACATGGCTAAATGTATAGTACCACGGTGCTAAAATGGTAACAAATAACTAACTACATGGTGAATGTATGCTAAGTGTTTTCCTTTAATATGCTCTGCATTGTGTTGCAGGATCCCTTTGCTTGGCTAGTTATGTTCTAAATAATCAAGACAAATTAATTCTTAGAAAGAATTGGATTTTATTGTGTGTACTGCAGCAAAGAATCCATTTCCTATGCCACATAGAGAAGTTACGTACATTAGCTCATTAGCACAGTTAATGAGATTTTTGGTACAGTTGTTGGTGTATTAGAAATACAAATCTTGCTATGTAGTTTGAGATGTGGAGTAAAGTAGCAGATTCCTTTTTTGTTAAAAAAATAAATTAAAGCTGTATATCAACCAATTTGTGACAATTTATACTGTGGGAAGAGTTCTTGTTGAAGGCAAACTTTCAGACATTACCACAATATACAAATCAAAACATCCCCATTTTACATGCTGTGTATATTTTGATTGCATTTTGATATGCTTACATTTTTTGTGAGAAGTGTTTCAAATTATTTGTCGCTGACACTATCTGCATTGTCCTGTTAGCGATTAATTTGCCCATTGACTTGAATGTACAAATGTAATATGCTTGAGCTGTTGAGTTTACAAGATTAGTAACATATTTGAAAAACATTAGTTAAAATCACTTTCTTTGTGAACAGAAAAATAGATGAAACCTGACCCTCTGCTCAAGAGGTGCCTCAGTGCTTTCTTAAATACAGGTACAGCTGTGCTATTATCTGAGCTGCATAATCATATCAGGGCAGCTATCCATGTTGGTAACTTAGCAATGATCAGAGAAAAGCCCTGAGAATGTAGTTTTGATCCACTTTGTGGGAGAGATGGGCAGAAGCCAACAGGTGGTATGCAGAATTTAATGTGAACGCATTTGCATCTTAACTTTAACTGATATTACAAAAGACCTGGGAGAATAGCAATTGTATCAATTTCGTACCACCTCATCTTTTCTACTCTGAAGAGACTGGCACAAAACCACAATGAGTGCAGGGATCAAGAGACTCTTATGTATTAGTGGTTTCATGTCATTGTCTTTCAACACAACCAACTTAAATCCAAGTAAACTCCACAGTTGGATTTCAGTATCAAATTAACAGTGCAAAATCATCTTTTTGGGGCTATGCTGTGTTAAGTGTGATTACATGTGCACAATCAAAGCTTTGCCTGCAACTTGTTGTTATTGCTTCAATGGAGTCACCTGGCTCTTTTGCACATTCTTAACTTGGAATTAAAAGAAATAATCAGCTGCAGTTCAGCTGAGCTCAGCACTGCATTAGGGACTAGTTTGACGATTGACAAATGAGCACAGAAGCTGTGCTGTGGCTGTCAGCCAAAGCAATTATTCAGGATTTAACTTAAAAGGCTCATTCTACCATATCCTCTCTTTCCAGGTTCATGTAGGGACAAAAAGAGCTGCAAGGTGGCCTTTCCACAGGCGGAACTGAGGAAGCGGTTGTCACCTCAGCAGTACCATGTCACTCAGGAAAAGGGGACTGAGAGGTAGGACTAGATAAAGTGGCTTGGCTGTACACTGTATAATCTGCAACCCTTCTTCCTCCTCCTTTACTTTCACTATCTGGTATGTTTAAATCCTTTGCTTCCCTTCCACCCAAACAGCCTATTCCACTGTGGTGCCCAAGATGTTTTGCTTGGAATAACTCTGCTTTATCCCCTTGATAACAAAATCCTGTGGAATTCTTTGTATTTTACTATAGTACATAACATAAATCAACAAAGTAATAGTCTGGGCACAAGAGTATTTCTTTAGGAGTCTCTCTGTAGAGGCTGGAGTAAACTAAACACTGAGGGAAATGGACCAGTGCCAGTCAGCAGAGTTTGAAGGTGGTCATTGTGTGCTCAGACATTAGGCTGCCAAAAGAAGGTAGCGTAATTAAGCTGGATTTTTTGGAACACATGTGGAGAAAGTATTTATTGGCTCATTTGCGGTTGGAATGCCAAAAATGTTCAATAACGGCCCTTGCATGGTTGTAGTCCTTGGAAGCTGGCCCTCAGTGCTGTTTCATTTTTTTTTTAAAAAGTCTCCGCTTCCAATGCTGTATTTAGTGAATAAGAGTCACTCAGCTGATTTCAGCCAAGAGTTTCTGTGCCAAGGCTAACCATTTTGTTGAGCTTATACAGTGGACTCTGGCACAAGTACTCGACTACCTCTTATCCAAATTTATTAATGATGCAACTGCTTACTTCCATTCATGGCTTGCACATGGGGTCTTTGCTAATAGGCTTTACTTTCTTCCGGTCACAATGTACTGTTTGAGTTTACTGAACGTGAGTCATTGGCACAGGAACACCAGAAAAGAGTTGGCAGCAGACTTGAACCCGCTAACCCTCAGCTTCCAGCCAAAACACATTATGTGATGCACAAAACCAGCAGAATGATTCACTGAGTGCAAATGTCTGGAGATTATAAGTCATTCTTACAATCCTATTTATGTAAAAAAAATTGTTTTTCTGGGACGGGAGACAGGAGAATATTTTGCCGCATCCGCCTACAAAATACACAGTTGCTACACTTTACAATAAATCCTGTAATTTGCTTTGAGACGTATTCTCTCGCATGAAAAGGGCAATATTAAATGCAAATATTATTTTTTATGGGTTGTGTCAACTGTTCTGATGGGTTAGTGGGTAAAAAATTATAATCCTTACATTTGATAGTGCCTTATCATGCCGTTGAGACATCTCAACGACGTGATAAGGTAGTAGAAGTGTATAATGAATTGACTGTATATTTTGTGGGCAAAACAGGAAGACAATTGCGTCCAGCAGTGTCCCACAAACAGTCGTGGATTGAGTAGCCAAATTACTATTATTTATCAAGGCAATCCAATACATTTGGCTATGTGCAGTTATATGAAATTAGTTGATTTTAGCCAGGGTACGGTGAAGGTATGATTGTCTTGGTGCTTTGGATTAGGATTGAAAAACACAGTCTCCTATTCCTTCTGTATCTGTACTATTGAAATATAAAGTTGATTGAACTTGTTTAACATAATATGGCTTCACAGTTTGCTTGTACTGATTCTATACATTTTCTCTCCCAGTGCTTTTACAGGAGAGTACACATTTAACAAAGATGACGGGATCTACCAATGTGTAGTTTGCAAGACCCCTCTTTTTAAGTAAGTGTAATAAATGATGGCTAGACATGCCTCTAATTGGCAGATTGGTTATTGAAAAATCTTGTAACAAGTATGAATTGAGTGATTAAGCAGAAAATATTTTTAAAAAAACTGTCAGGAATGTTTCAACTCTAGTTTTATTGAACTCACTCCTCCGTTCCACACAATTGTTAGCATTACATTTTGGTATCTGCAATCTTTGTGCAATTTAGGATACCATAATTGGGGCATCTACGAGACAGGGTGGGGGGAGGAGCAGAAGGTACCAAATGTAGAACACCCCCAAATTGTGTAAAAACTTTAAAGCTAAATAAAAACAGATGACCGGATGTAGTGTTTACCATAGTAAACTTCCTTCTATTCACCAAATTTATTGAGCAGTTAGAAAGAAATGTTGAGGATTGATCATAAAACTGTGTCCAGATTACCAGCGTTACCCCTGTAAACGTTCAGGTTCTGCAGCAACCTTGATGATGGCAGCAGTCATCTGGATTTAATAAACCTTAAATGTTTTTCAGTTATGGTATGGTTGCCTCTTGGCTATTGTTAGCATGTAGCCGCACTAAATGTATTTTTTTTTAACAAGTATTTAGCAGTTCTCCTGACCAAATCCATTAATGAAATAATACCTTATGTGTAGTTTTATTTATTTCTAACTTGAAATAAATGATGCACATTCACTGTCCAATAATTTTATTTTCCTATTATTTGCAAGTTACATTGAAGGGTCAGCATCCTTATTGTCGAATATCTTTTCATACATTGGAAAGTCAGACACGCCAGTTCCTCAGGGTGTTCTCTGCAGCACAACTGATTATTTCTGCTGAGCTCCTTACAGTCCTAGACCACATAAAACATTGTCCAGGGCGACCCTGACACAGGTGAGCTAAGGAGAGAAGAGATGGAGCCTAATGAAATATCTGTTATGTCTAATATACAATATTATTCCTGCATGATAGCACCTACATATCAAAATGTCAAGCATTTCACAAGTAATTGCTGCCAAATGTAGAACTATGTTTCTGTAGGCAAGCACAGTAGCCATTCTGCACAGATCAAAGTCCCACAAACAGCCAAGACGTGAATCTGGAGGAGTGTTGGCCAAAGTAAACCTCCCTTCTCTTAATGAATAGTGTCCTGGGATCTTAATATGCAGACAGAGGGCCTCAGTTTAATGTCTCATCTGAAGGACAACACCTCAGACACCGCACGTCTCCCAAAGTACCTCACTGGAGTGGCAGTCTGGACTATAAGCCCAAGATCCCACAACCTTCTGACACAGGGTGAGACTGGTGATAACTGAGTTAAACTGACACAATTTTAGATGCATTTGACTGTGTTCTGGACCACTAGATTGAGACTACTCTCAAAGGCAAAATCAGGCTTGCACAGAATTGAGCCATACAAGAAGTCGCAGGATTAATTCTGGTGAGTTAGCAGATCTCAGCTAAGGTATCAGTGCAGACACTGCAATATGCCTTGTTCTAATGCTTTCTATTTCTATGTTGTCCCTAGTCTTGGAGAAGTTAAAATCTCAGGGTTTCCACTCCTGGTCTCACTCCGTACCAACCTGTCTGCAACCTCTGCTCAGCGGACTCTGGCCTGCTCTATGTCCCCGCCAACCCTACCATCAATGGTCGGGCTTTCTGCCCCCACCCTTTGGAACTCCATCCCACAGTCCCTTCACCTTGGACCCTCCCTTGACTTCTTCAAGGCCCGTCTCAAGACCCTCCTCTCCATCCGTGCCTTTGGTCAGCCCACCCTTCCTGCATATCCCTCGTGCCCTCCATTCCACCAACAGTGGCGCGCTTTCAGCCATTCCGGTCCAAAACCGTGGAACACTCTTCCTCTTCCGCTTTCCCCCTTCCTTCCCCATATTTAGATTGTGCCTGAAGATGCAAATCTTTAACTGTCCAGCTCCTTGGGATGTCCTCCCGATGTGAAAGGCACCTTTCATGTCGGGAGGACATCCCAAGGCGCTGGACAAATAGAATTTGTTGTTATACAAATGTCATTTATTGAAGTTAGTTGCTATACAGTTAACCTTCTGCATAGTGCAATTATGAGGACCTTGGCTGACAGTAAGACTTAGCTGTGAAGCCCCAGCACCATAGTGAAATGACCTGCCAACACTGTCTGACTGGGCTCAGGCTTGTATTCGGGAAGTTTCTAACAAATAGTTGTTACAGCAGTGATACAGTTACAGTGTAGTGATATTGATAGTTTTGATGTTCTTGAAACCTTTGTCATAAAAATCCAGCGTCATAAATTTAATAATTAAACTTTTTTATTAATTCTGTGATAATAATCCTTGCATTTGATAAAGCGTCTTATCATGTTATTGAGACATCTTAAAGCGCTTCAAATTATGTATTCTAAATTGGAATGACTGTATTTTGTGGGTGTAAGAAAAATAAGTAATTTACATTGTTAATGTTCAGTAAACTTGTAGTGATTCTTCATAATTATTCATCTTTCAATGAAAATATTACCAGTGTCAGTCTGGCTCATTTGGTAGCACTCTTTGAACCAAAGTGCCATCTGCCTGTTCAGGTGAACACTAAAGATCCAATGGCACTACTTGAAAGGAGAAGGAATTACTCCCAGTGTTCTGGCCAATAATCCCCTGGGTAAAATTAGAGACTCACTCCATGGTTTATTGTGGGATGTTGCTATATGCAATTTGACTGTCATGTTCACCTACAGATACAATCATTACATTTACAGTAGCTTGCGTGAAGTGCTTAATGCCACCTCCTTGCATATATCAATTTTTAAAATCAATGACGTGGAGTTTCCAAAAGCCAGTAGAAGCAAAGATGTGCTCCCCATCCTATAAAAAAAAGTGTCCTATGTGATTTGAAGGCAGTCATCTTGTCTTGAGATTCAATTGATGTTTACAATACATGACTGTTTGTGGGACACTGCTGTGCGCAATTGGCTGCCGTGTTTCGCTCACAAAATATACAGTCAATTCACTTTACAGTATATTCTGTAAAGCGCTGTAAGACATCTCGAAGACGTGATAAGGCACTGTATCAAATGCAAGGATTGTTATTATAAACCACTCATATTTAACTTGGATGCTTTATGGTGTCATCTGAATTCCTCAAATAAGATTCTTGACTTTTAATTGTCCCCAGATATTCATTGTTTCATGCCATTACCAAAGTCATTGTGAGCCCTTCAAATGTCCATGGCTGTTCATCTAAGTTGAATGTTTGATTAATCCACTCTGTTTTAAAACAAACGAAAAGCAATGTCCATTTTGTGAAAACTGTTTATCTAAAATACCATTCAGTTGATTTTCCTATGCTCCTCATAAAATTGCCAATACATATGTTGATCTAGAAAGATCAATGTTTGTTTTGTTAAGAAAATGCCCACAAGGTAACTGCTTTTTTTGTCCGTTGTGAGCACCAAACATGAAACACAGCTATTTGGGTGAGCTACCAGAGAACTACAGACCCATTTGGAACTTACCTGCTTTCAAAGTGGGGAATTGGGTAAAAAGGGTGCATCCCTCCATGGAGATTCCATGCCAGATGCACAACAATTTCCATGTGTAGGTGGTGTGCATACTGTGGAACTCTTAAGCCTTGTGATAGGTTTCTGCATATGTCAGACACCCAGCTGACCAAACGTGAATGGGCAGCTTCAAAAATGAAATGATTAAAAGGCTTCCTTCCAAGTTATGCTCCACATTTGAAATTGGTGGCTTGTTCTCTTTTGTACAGCACCAATGCTGGACTTCCAGAATAACCATTTTTGTAAACAGGACCTATATCACTTTTGTAAACAAGAGACCTGCAAATGCTGGGCAGCGTTTAATTAGTGTGCTCTACAACCCATCAACCTCTAACAGCAGTATAGAGCTGTTCCTCAAGGAACAGACTTAATGGACTGAATGGCATTTTCTTGTTCTATGCTTCATTGTCCAAGTCTGTTAGATACAGTATCTATATGACTCACTAGAACTGTTCCCTCATGCTATTGTATAGCATTTTAGTTATCTCAATCCTGGTGAATAACACATTTGTTACAAGACCGTTGAAAATACAGCGCGTGTGTATTTTACATTGGATGTTGGGCCGATTGACAAACCTTTGAAATTACACTGCTGATTTCTTATGCTCTGCCATGATTAAGAATCAGGTTAGTTAACCTTATACTATTACATAAAATACTGTAACCTCAAATGCACTTTAGTTCTCTGTTGCTTAGGGGAAGAGGGGGGAAAAAATTTAAGCAGATTCTCAGGTAGTTAAATGTTTTTTTTATTGAAAGGTCTTTATGCACATGTAACATCCTCTAACTGGGCTCTTGCTGACCAGCTCTTGTATCTTGCTGTGACAGCTGTGGACAGATATACAACTGATCGTTAATGTGTGATATAAATCTGACCGGAGCATGCTCACTAATTGGTTCGAGAACCCCATACAGACAATGCTGTCTTGTAGCAGCTTGCATGGATAGGCTTAGTCTGAGGGTTAATTCTGCTTGACAGGACATCAGCAGCATCTTGAGAGTAATTACCCAACTGCAGTTTTCCCACAGCTGAACGGAGAGCTTCAAAGGCTCCTGAATTTACAGCTAGTATTAACCTATATCTGAAACATAATGTTCCCACAAGGACAAATTTTTTTTATCCTTTTTCAAAACTTATAAATTGCTCGTCAGGTAATTACACCATAGTGGTGACGAAGGTGTGTGTGTCTGGGATTGTGGTACGGTACAGAGTTTAAAACATTCAGAAAAGTATTTTATTCTTTGTTCTGCTGAGGTGCTGCTCTAACTGTGTGCTGTCTAACCTCTGCACAGTGATCATGGCTTTCAAAAGCCTATTCTATCCATTGATTAAAGTGCCTTTTATTATAAGGGAGTACTTGAACTTTAGATCCCTTAAAATGTTTAATATTTAAGCCTTGACTTTTTGCTGTCTTCTGCTTAACAATAAGGGAACTTGGGGCTTGGGTTCCCTCCAGTTCACATTTTCTCCCCCCCACCCCACCACCCATCCCTTGAAAGTGTTGACTTCTGCTGATTGCAAATGTATGTATGAGGCTGGGAAGTTTCCAGTACTTTGCGTTAGTGATCATTTTTCAATTTAGATAATCAAAGGCGGGCTATTTGAGCATTGTGGTTATTATAATGACCTCAATCCTATTCTCAACACGAGGTTCACACTTGCGTTATAGTATATCCAAACCGTCGTCAGGCAGCAATAAATGAAGCAAATGGGATGCTGGGCTACATTGCTAAATCAATTGAGTTCAGATCCTCAAAAATCTGCTCAAGCTGTACAATGCTCTAGTTGAGCTATATCTGTACAGGTTTGATCATAGTGACATAAGTTGCCCAAGCCCTGTGTAAAACAACTAAACATGCCCTATGATTAATAATCTTGAGTTCTTCAAAGTTCGCAGGTACTGTTTTTAGCCTCCACTCTCTGGAACTCCTCCTTCACAACTCCCTTGCCTTACCAACTTCAAGGTCCGTCTCAAGACCTTGCACATTCGGTCATCTTCCTCTCTCCACCCCTCTTGGTTGCCATCCCTCCTGAATCCTACCCCCAGCTTGGGTGCAAACCCTTTGTCCAGCGCCTTGTCCTATTGACGTGAAAGGCACTAAATAAATGAAATTTATTGTTGTGCAGGGCAAAAAACAGTATTAACACCAAGGTAACTAATAGCAGGAATAGATAACCAGAAGGCATGATTGAGGCCTAGTAGAACAACTTTTCTGGAAGGATGCGATCAAATGGGTGGCAGAGCCTTCTGCCTCTGAACTTCTCTTGTGAGCATTATGTTAAGATTACACCAAATATAAACTGTTCAGATTGGAACCCACGACATAGATCTGAACACCAGTGGACGGGCATTGATTTTGGTTGCGTACAAAGGACACAATCACTATACTATACAATAAAGCCCGTGAAGCGCTTTGAGAGGTCCTCCTAATGTGAAAGGCACTATCAAATGCAAAGATCATTATCATTGTATTATTCAACAACAAATTACATGCCTTTCGCATCGGAAGTATGTCCCAAGGTGCTGGAATTCTATAATTCTAAAAGGCACTGTTCTAAAAGTGCAAATATTTTCCTTTAAATTTTCCTGTTGAGACCTATGTTTTACCCATAAATATACAGTCAATTCACTTTACAGCATATTCTGTGAAGCTCTTTGAGACGTCTAGAAGACGTGAAAAGCGCTATATCAAATGCAAGGGTTGTTATTGTGCACTTGTCAGATATTTGATTTATTAATGAATTTTTTTTGTATTTATAGGTCTGAATCGAAGTTTGACTCTGGATCAGGTAGGTTTCATTCTTTGAAGCACCTTGGGATGTCCTCCCAACGTGAAGGTTTTCAGCAGGCTCCGGCCTGCTCCATGTCCTCTGCACAATTCGCCCCACCATCCATGGTAGGGCCTGCAGCCTCTCTGCCCCCATCCTTTGGAACTCCATTCCACAGTTCCTTTGCATCGCTCCCTCTCTTGCCTTCTTCGAGGCCCATCTCAAGACCCTCCTTCGACCATGCCTTCGGTCACATTCCCATCCTCCACCCCTCCTGATCCCAACCCCCAACTCAGGTCCAAATTCCTGTTTGTTCAGCGCCTTGAGAAGTCCTCCTGATGTGAAAGGTGCTACACAAATGTAATTTGCTGTTGTTGTCTTAATTAATTCTGTTGGTCTATTAACTCAAAGCCAAATTTACATTTTGAAACAAATGTAAGAAATGTGTATTTTTACTGAACTTGAGATGTTTATCAGAATTTTTCCAATGAACAATAAGTTTTTATGGTGTTTAAGTGTTTTGGATGCTGTAACCTTTTTTGAAATTGGTATATTCAAGCATGTTTGAAACAGCCCAATAACCTTTGTAAATAAAACTGCTGGTATTATGTTTTTTTAAAAAATAGTATTAGTATTGTAAAAAGTAACTCTGTTTGTTTAAAGCAACCTATTTTAATCTTTACTTATAGTTAAGTTTCAAATGCACCAAGATGCTGCTCTTCATGAAGGATGCTATGTAAATGCAAGTTGTTGTAAGGTTCATCAGTGGCTGAGCCTTCAGTCACTATACCCCTAACCTCTGGAACTCTCACCTCGCCTCCTCTCAATCCATCTTTAAGCCCACCTTAAAATCTTCCTCTTCAAACACACCTATGGTCATTGTGAATCGCTCAGACATCCTACATATAGGGTGCTATATAAGCAATGTATAAATGAAAGTTGTTGTTCAGTGAAGCTACACTGAAATGATTTGTAAAAAAACACATTTTTGTGTATTTTGTGTGCCTCGGGCTCTATCTCAATGTCCAGAATCGTTTAAAATGTGTTTATATCTTTACGTGAAACAATAAGGGACCAATTTTAAAATTGTACAGGGAGGCAATCTTTACCACTTGCTGGCTCCAAATCTACTATTTGAATGCAGTGCTGGGAGATCTTTGATAGTGAAGCAGTCTTTTCTCAATTCCAGCTTACTGTGCAGCCAAACACCCATAGTAGTACTTGTCGAGTCATTTCAAAGATGCTCGTTCCCATTCCACATGTTCAGTGTTGAATATTTTTGTTTTATATTACTCTGCGCCAATGGCCCAGTTGGTTGAATGAAGCCTTTAGCCAATGTGAGAGTGAGCCACACACACCAGGAGTACCTGGGTTTCATTTCCTTAAGTCTCTGCCAATGACAGCATTAATGACACTATATCAATATAACCTGCATCTTCCCTGAGCTAGTGATGGGGGGAAGAGGGAGATTTAGCCAGAGTTCTTGCTGCTGGTTACCCAGAGCATTCTGCTGAAAAGTGTATGTGTGGAGCTCTAAATGATGACTGGGTTGGGCTCAGCAATGATGTTTTTCTTTTTCTTCTCCCCACCCCCACCTTCTTTGTTGCATGGCCTGGTAATGCTCATTGCCTTCGCTACTAACATGAAAACCACCTGAGTGGGTGTAGTGCTGCAAGACAACTGGAACAGTATCCCATTACCTTCAAGAGACAAACTGTTCTTTTGATACAGACCAACCTCTTGCAGGCCCCTGTGTTTTATTATTTCCTCCTTTGTATGACATCAACACGCATCGATGGAATTCAACTACACTTCCTCCTGGGCTAGAGGTTTCTCAGCACATCGTCTCGTGTACTATTTCAGAGCTGTATGATTGTTAGAGAGAATCCAATCCATTCACAGCATAAGGGAAATTTTCACTCTAAAGTTGTGAGCAACAAAATGTGTTGACAAAGGTTTTCTTCAAGTCGACTCAACAAAATGAGCCTTGCAACCTGTTAAATATGCACATGTGTACAGCAAACACTGCATCTGCAGTACATTAAAATGTTTGTGCACAGCAAACATTTGTGTAACTGTTTTAACTCCCTGTTCACTGGTTGCAGTAAAACATCAACACGGAGAACTGACAAGTCTTTGCATGTGTTTTGTGTACAGTGACAAGAAGGGAGTTTACAGGGTGTCTGTCTTGGGCAGATCCATCAGATACATTTATCCACCAGATGAATTGGTCATTTACATCATGTTGCTGTTTGTGGAACTTTGCTTTGAGCAAAATACTTGCCACATCTGCCTACAAAATCAGTCGCTATACTTGACATTAATTACTGTATTGTCAAGTGTTTTGATATGTTTTGATAAGGTGAAGTCCTATAGCTCAGTGGTTAGAGCACTCGCCTTGCAACCAAGAGACCTGGGTTTGATTCCCGGCAGGGTGAAACTGAGCAAGTTTCCTTACTCCACACATCTGATAATAATCCCTCAAGAAAAAAAACAATAATAAATTGCTCACTTCAACCCGAGACTCTTGTGGGACACTGCTGTGCGCTATTGTCTGCCGCATTTTGCCCACAAATATACAGTCAATTCACTTTACAGTACATTGTGTGAAGTGGTTTGAAATGTCTAGAAGATGTGAAAAGTGCTACATCAAAATGCAAGGATTATTATATGTTGTAGGTTATATGTGTTATAAATGGGTGCAAGTTCTCTTTTTCTCTGAATGCAGTGCTCACTCGTCAGAGCCAAATTTTTGGTGCAGAATTGTGGTTAATTTGAAACCCTAACTCTTATTGATATTAGTGTAAATTGTGGAAAACTGCTGACTGTGTAGAACAGCGCAAATTCTGCAAGGATGACGTTCCACTGACCTTGCATATCACAACTTGACATGTAGTAATTGGCGTCCATTTGGAAAACATTATCTAACTTTCCAGCCAAACTTAAAATTAGGAATGGCAAGTTGTAGATCATTCTTTTGAATTCTATGAGTGCAGCATGCACAATTATACTTTTTCAATATCTAGCGCAAGGACTGTGGGGGTCGCACCACACTCCTGCATAGTATGAATAATGTATAGCAGATGCCAAACAGGCCATGACAAAAGGAATACCTCCCACTGATCAACCATTGTTTCTCCATATGAATCAATTTATTGAGGTGTGTGGCAAGAGCCTTTGCTTTAATTCTGAAATACATCACAAGGGGCTTCATTCAGCTACTCCAGACAGCTGCTGACACCACATCCTCTCAACCTCAAATTCACCACAAAACTGTGGCCATGCTCAATGCATAAATTAAAGTAGCAAAGGGGAGGGGGAAAGGGCATCCCGCCCTGCAAAATAGTGTAAGTAGAAACCTAGTAATCTACATCACAAAAGGAGACCATTTCACCCATCATATCGACACCAGGTCACAGAGATCAACTTAATCCCACCACCCCACCTTATTACCACCCCCCCCCCCCCCAAAATATGCCTTCAACATACGGGCAGGAATTGAGCCTTATTTGGATACCATAGGGCAAGTTGGTAATGTATGCAAAATAATTATTCATGAGGGCAGAAATATTCAGGGTTTAATGAGATTGTTTACAATGGCATCTCCTGTCTTCCCCACCCCCACCATCCTAACATGAAGGTCCATAAACTGCTGTCGTGCAGGCAAATACAGCAGCTGATCTGTGCCAGCTCCTTCCTGCATGTAACAATATGATGAATGACAAATTAAGTTTTTTGTGTTGAATTTGGATGAGAGTGGAAAATTTTCCATGACAGCTTGAGAATGCCCCGATCTTCTTTGAAATTATGCCACAGGATCTTTAACATCAACCAGAACAAGCAGATAGGATTCTGGTTTAATGTCTCATCCAAAGGACAGATGACAATGATGTTGCTTCTCAGTTGAGTGGCTAAAGAGAATTAATGGGCAAGAGCTCATCCTCACATTAAGGGGCATGGTGAGGAGACTACATCACCAGCCTCCTTGGATGACGGGCAAGATCCCAGCAAGGTAAACAATTCAGAAACTCTGTGGTTGGAAACAAGTGGAACAGCTCAAAAGACTTGATCAAAAGATATTTTTCCTCCTGTATTTCCCTGTCACACTTCCATGTCTTCAACTGATTTCTCCCCCACAAAAAAAATCATTTTGTAACAAGCTTTTGCTACCACAGCAGTTAGAAAATTATATTTCTACATTGTGATTATTTTGTATGTGTAAGTCAAACTGCAATGTTATGCCCTCATATGATGTTCCTAATTACAAAATCCTCCACAAACAACCAAACCATCGAAACCTGACTGACAACCCATGAATCTATCAAATCACTCATTAACTCTCCAGCAAAACAACTTTAACAGCCATATTAAAACAAGCTGGTAAAGTGTCTATGAATTCAAAAGCAGCTAATTAGCTCTCCACTGAAACTGCCACAATGAGAGAAGTTGGTAAAAGTTACAAGGAATAAACAGCTTCATCTGAAATTGACCACTTCTCCCAATGTGAAATGTTTGAGAGAAGTCAGGAGGGCATCGAAAATTTATCTGAAGATCAAAGATTGGCAGGTCTTGTACCAAATACCTGGAGTGTCATCCATTGCTTGTCAAGAGGTTTCAGTTGTGGTTACATTGGTCAACTGTTCTTGATCAGGGTGAGAAAATCTTTTGATTGTTTCTGCTTAATGCTGAACTTCATGTTGGATTCTTTAGGGAAATTTTTTTTTAAAAAAAGGTAAGCCACCAACACTTCTGAGAGCAACTTTGGGCAGCCTGATATCTGTTGATTTAAGGACTGATCGATCATGTCACCCAATGCCTGATGATGTCAATCATTTCTCAGTTTGTTAGAACTGTAACTTTAGCAGACTCTACCACCAACAATGTCAAATTAAGGCTTTCGGCTTCTTTCTAAGTCTTGCACACTTCCTTTAGAAGATTTTTTTATTGTCTTACATTATGATTTTATGGGTTTCTCAGCATAAAAATATGCAGTTTGGGAACAATCTATCTTTAGGTATTCA